CTTTCCCTCCATTAGATGCTAGAACAAGTCGGCTCGCCTCCTTTCTTTCACGCGCACTTTCGCTAGCTCGCTCGCTCGTATCGAGCTAGTTCGGAATCTCGAAGAGCGAGGTTGTTTCCCGACAATCTGTCAATGACACCACTCCTGTTCGCATCTTCCTCTCTGACTGGAAGCTCACCACCGGAAACTCGCGCGTATAAACGAAGCGCAAGTCGACATAAAATAGCAGGCAAACATATATCTACTTCCGCGAGCTCCAAGAAAACTATCAAAGTTGAATGGAGGGGTACGCACGATGTGATGCCAAGTTGACTAGATTCCTCACGCGTTACTACTACTGGCGAGGCCGTGGTCGCGGCCGCAATGGCCCACGCGGCGATGTTCAACGTGATTTTCCTTGCTCGGTTTACGCGTGACCACTACCGAGACCCGAGCGATATTAATCCCCATGGTTTTCTCCTGCCACTTTTCCGGAGAAACACCCGAGGAAGTAGTGGCGCTGTACACGCACGAATCATTCCGACGCTCCACGCACCGCACAACGGACTGCGGTCCGCGCGCGCTTTGTTCGGGCGGCCGGCGCGCGTCCTTGAAAAATGAAATTATGCCCTTTGAAAAGAAATCCGGCCGGCTCGGCTGCTGCTGCTTGCTTGCTTGCCTGCTTGCTCACCCGACTCCGCCTCTCCCTCACGCTCGCGAACAACTGCTGGCCCCTCTCATCTAGAGTGGGGAGCGCGACTCCGACTCGGCCGATTCCCCTCTTCGCTCGCCGTATCACGCGTATTCGTTCCTATCCTCCTTCCCATCCCTTCCTTGACCCATACACGTCGAATCGCTGAGCTCGACAATAATAATCAAGCTATTTTGCGTAAATAACGCTTTTATTCTTTCTTGAAAAATGTGGCAACTCTCATTATTACAGCACTTCCCTTTCGCTGCCATCCTCCTCCTTCTCCTGCTCTCGCACTACGCGTCGTCCGGCCGGCCGCAACACCTAATTTAATGCAAAGGTCGTCATACAATTATTAAAGAGGTGAGAGTCCTCGGATGCCAGTTTGCAATACTATTTGGGGATTTTCAAGTTGATGAAATTATAAGTTAGCACCGTTATCTTTTATTCGGCAAGCCAGTTTCATCAAATATTGCTTCGACAAAAGACGAGAGCACAAATGTCTAACTACGATCAACGAGTTATAGCATATCATATCTCATTATTTTGGCTGGAAAAGATTCTTAGGTTTGAGGAGGTTTTTATGCTTTGCAAGATTACTGCTACCACAAAATGGTACCACTTATGCAATTATATCGAGAAATTTCTACGAATAATAAATGGCTTGGACACCTGCCTTTAAATGAAATATACCAACCGATCGTTCCATACATAGTTTCATTGCGTTAAACGAGAAAAGCGAATAGGAAATAAAAACAAGAGTAGCCTCTCTCTCTCTCTCTCTCTCTCTTATTTGACGACCAGAATCCTATTGTAAGAGTAAAAGGGGCGACCATCTCGTACCGCCGCCGCTTCCTCTATTCCCAAATCCCCACCGTTGACTGTTTCCCCTCTCGTGTTCGCCATCGACAACCTAAGCCATTAATTTGGTCTCTCTCACTCTCAGCTTTTTGCGTATACTTCTCGCTTACGCTCCCGTTCTCCATCTCCAGCACTACTGCCGTTTTCTCTGGGGTCGTCTTTGTAGCAACGGGACAAGAGAAGAAACGCGGCACGCAATGGCCCAAGATCTTGGACAAGCGCTCGTTGTCCCCTTCTCTTCGCCACTCCGGTTTCCGCGACCTTTGTGGGGAGAGGCACGACATTCTATAGCAAGTATACACGTTGCAATAGAGACGGGAGTAGCAAAAACCAGTGGATAAAGAAGGCGAACGAACGAGCGAGAGTAGCGCGGACTGGGTATCTCGAGGATAGGGATAATGACGGGGCAATCTATACCTGGATGATTTTTGTGGCGGGAATTACCGGGGACCTTCCTCCCTTTTTTCGCCGTTCTCTCGCCGCTACGTACAACGTATAGATCCAGGTTTCTCTCCCCACCCCACGCCCACCAACTTTCTTTTCTTATGTACGTATGCGGCAACGATGCCACGAATGATGCCCCCTTTGGGCTACGCATCGAGGGGTGGTTTCGAAATTTGTTACTTGAAATTCAGTAGACAGCGATTCGCTCTTCTCGCTTTTAATGATGCTGAGATTCAAACGTCCTTCGAAAAAATCTTCGGTTCGGTTCGGCTCAATTCGGAAAGTTAAGTACCGGTGATGTGGATTGATACCTCACGCCAAATAATGTATAGGACTGTTGCACTGTTCTAATACCTCCACTAATTACGAAAGACTGCACATTTCGAAGCATTAAATAGCATAATTATTATATAATCTATAAGTAATCTATAAATAGCCTATATTCAAATTCAAATCATTCATTCGATCGCCTTGGTAATATTTAATCATTGCGTTTTTAAACAATAACCTCTTATATTTGAAATAGATTTCTGTATGATAATTGTATCTATTCTTCTTAGAAATGTTACCAGAGGAATATTTACTGTGCAAAATCAAAACAATATTGCGTTAATAAATGGCAGTGTTCATAGAAGTGATTCTACACATTTATTCGATTATAATTTGATATTCTCATCATTGACTTCAAAATTTCATAAAAACTCTAAATACACTTAAAAAGGAATAAGTGAAATACAGTAAATATTCTAAAGTTTAATAATCAGGTTAAATGCAATGTTTAAGAAAAATATTAAGTTTTAATGTTGACTGTTGAATGTGAAAAATTAGTGTACAATTTCTTAGATTTTTTTTTTGTAAAAAAAAATTAAATGAATAATTTTGTTTTGTTTTATACAATTATAAAACAATTATAATGGTGTGATCTAATTAATTAAATTTTGTTGCAACGCCATTATAAAACATTATTAATACATATTAAAAAAACGCGTTTTTATGCTCTAAATAAGTAATGAAATTGAAATAAATTAATTTAAACATGACTTCGTTTAGAACTTTAACATTATACGTAAATAGCTAAAATGATTTGGACATATGATCTTTACACATTCTTTACACATCAACAAGTATAGTTGGAAAAAAGCTGGCTTTAATTATTGTAAATGTTGATATACTTATTTTCTAAATAATATTTCAATTAGAAATATTAAAAAACAATTATTTAAAAAATGCTCGTATACTTTTATAACGAATTATAATTTTTAAATCTAAATATAAATTCATAACTGTCGTTTGAATTTTCAATATAATTTTTATAAATCCTTTAAATTTTGAAATAAATAATATTTATTTGTAAAATATAAACTCATTTTCTTAATGATTATTAAAACAATTTTCTTTTTAAAATTTATTAATTTATTTAATTAAATAAGACAATCAATACTATTGTCCCAAATTTCTTTCCCTTACCATGACCTACTTAATTCGCTCTTCTTATGAAGATTTCCTGAAGTGTGAATACGAAAGAAAAATAAGAACCAGCAGAAAGAAAAGGCACCTAAGAAAAAGTAACATAAAATAAGCGAAAGAAATAAAAAGAATATAGAATTTAACAGAAAGGGTAGTATAGGAGAGAAAAATACATAAAAATTGAAAATAGAGAAAGTGTACGTAAAGCATAAATTTATGTCAGTTAATTTTCATAAAAAATTTAGAAATATTTAAAATTTATTATTTTTTCGTTTAATAATTTCATTTTTTATCTTTATCCTTCATTTTAATTTTATATCTGATATAAATGATTAAATTATATAGTCAAAATAATATAAAAAGATACAAAATTATTAATTATATATAAAAAAATAATTGAGATAATGTTTAAGTGAATTTAATGTAAACATGCAATTCCGCCTTTTAGATATCTCTTATATTTAATCTTATAGTAATTGTTACCTTGAATTGTTACAATGAAATAATATTATGAAAACGAATCTTTAGTTTATTTTTCCGTTCATATTTTTTTACTTATTTAAAATTCATGAATTATGCTTTTCAATCATGTACCGTTAGTATTAACATGCACTTATATAGTCAATCTATTACATCATATGTAGGTATAATAGAAAAATATTTAAAAATAAACAAACTCTAATATGACTAGTCATAGATAACTTTAAATTTTGTGTAAAATATGATACCTTTTATATAATGTACATGGTTTTGTAATATTATCAAAATATGTATTTTAGAGCATGCTTTCAAATTAAATTGAAAGCCAACATAAGTAGATATTAAAGTTGTCTTTAAAAATTATCTATATTCAATAATTTATATACAATTAATTATGTATAATATATAATTGTTCGTATAAATCTTTACAATTACTAATGGTTATATTTAATGAATATTTTTTTATTGATAAACTTATTGAAACATTTAAACTAGA